GATAGGGTTTACAACACATAGGAAAATCACATTAGATGACAAAATGGTGGACAGTCACAGAAAACTGGGAATCATGGCCTAGCCAATTTGATACACATATTTTTGGGGGACACAATTCAATCCATGACAACCTGTAAGTCAGCCTTTGTCAGAGCTGCCAAGGTGAATTTCTCAGCTGAGACCGCTCACACTCTCCCACAGGCCTGTAGGCTCCCATCACCAACCCTCTTCCTTCAGGACTTAGGGGACAGGCTGACAGGAGACCTCTGAGGCCCTAGAGAAGACCTGTAAGCTGACCTTTGTCAGAGCAGCCAAGGTTGAGTTTCTCAGCTGAGGCAGTGCACACTTTCCTTCTCTCTCTCCTGCAGGCCTGTGGGCGCCCATCGCCCACACTCTGGCCCCGTTCCTTCTTGCTGCCCCTGACAAGTGTCATTATGTCTTCCTGTCAGAAGTGCTGGCGCTGCATGCTTGAGGAAGGACTTCAGAACCAAAGTGAGGTACAGAGCCTGGTGAGTGTGAAAGTTTCCGTGGCTGTGGAGGAGGAAGCCGTCTCCTCATCATCGTCTTCCTTCTCCTTCACTTCTGTGATCCCGAGCACCCCCGAGCAGTTGGCTGTTGCTGGGACACCAAGTCCTTATCTGAGTCCTCAGGGAGGCTGCTCCTTCCCTACTGCCATCGCAGCCACTCCATCAAGCATTTCAGATGAGGGCTCCAGCAGCCAAGAAAAGCAGAGTCCCAGCACCACGCAGGCCCCACCAGACACTAAACACTTGCCTAGAGACCCGCTAGACGAGAAGATGACTGATTTGGTGTAGGTCCTGCTCCTCAAGTACCAAACCAAGGAGCCATTCACAAAGGCAGAAATGCTGAATACTATATTGCCATCAAAAAGTACCAGGACCACTTCCCTGTGATCTTCAGGGAAGCCTCAGAGTACACACAGCTGGTCTTTGGAATCGATGTAAAGGAAGTGAACTCCACCAGCCACTCCTATGTCCTCGTCAACACACTAGGCCTCACCTATGATGGGATGCTGCGTGGTGACCAAGGCGTGCCCAAGACAGGCCTCATGATCATTATTCTATGAAAGATCTTCTTGGAGGGCCACTGTGTCCCTGAGGAGGACGTCTGGGAAGCTCTGAGTGTGATGGGCATGTATGCTGGGAGGGAGCACTTTATATATGGTGTCATGGAATGAATTATGTCCCCCCCAAAACATGTATCAATTTGGCTGGGCCACGATTCCCAGAATTGTGTGGTTGTCCTCTATTTTGTGATTGTAATTTGATGTTAAAGAGGATTAGGGTGGAATTGTAACACATTTACTAAGGTCACATCCCTGATCCAATGTAAACGGAGTTTTCCTGGGGTGTGGCCTGCACCACCTTTTATCTTACAAGAGATAAAAGGAAAGACTGCGAGCACAGAGGGGGGACCTAATACCACCAAGAAAGAAGCACTGGGAGCACAGCGTGTCCTTTGGACCTGGGATTTCTGCGTGGAGAAGCTTCTAGTCCAGGGGAAGATTGACGAGAAGGACCTTCCCCCAGAACTGACAGAGAGAGAAAGCCTTCCCCTGGAGCTGGCGCCCTGACTTTGGACTTGTAGCCTACCAAACTGTGAGAAAATAAATTTCTCTTTGATAAAGCCATCCACTTGTGGTATTTCTATTAGAGCAGCTGTATTAGTCATCTACTTTAACTCTGTTTAATCCTTCCGCCTTCATACAATTTGTTGTAGTATATTTTAATCATATATATAATTATACATGTATACATATATACATATTATTTGTGGACATATACATACATATGTGTATATATTTATATATGTACATACATATATACATACACATGTTCATATGTATATATAGACACATATGTACATATATATGTACATCCACAAATAATTATTGTCTTATTATTGTGTACAGCCAATAGTAGTTTAAATTTACCCACATATTTACTATTTCTTTTGCTCTTTGTTACTTCCTACATCTTCGAGCTTCAAATTGAGATCAATTTCTTTCTGCTGGATAAACATCTTTTAATATTTCCTTTAAGTGAAGTCTAATAGTGATGAATTTGCTCCCTTTTGTGTCTAAAATTGTCTTTATTTCACCTTCCTCCTTTCAGTATGTTTTCTCTGGGTGTAGAATTGTACATTGGCAGTTATTTTTCTTCCATACTTTGAGGACATCACACCATTTTAGTTTGGCTTCCACAGCTTCTGTTGAGAATTCAGCTGAAAGTCTACTTGCTGTTCTTTGCAAGTGTAATAGGCCGAATAATAACCCCCAAAGTTGTCTACGTTAATTCCTGGAACCTGTGAAAGTGATCTTATATGGCAAAAAGGATTTTTCAGATGTGATAGATCAGAGATCTTTTTATGGGGAGACTATCCCGGATTATCTGGGTGAGCCCTACATGCTATCACAAGGGTCCTTGTAAGAAGGATACCAAGGGAGATTTGACACAGGCAGCAGAGGAGAGGGCAGTTGACCATGGAGGCAGAGATTGGAGTGACAGGGCCACAACTGAGGAATACTGGCAGTCACCAGAAACTGCAGGAGGCAAGGAACAGACTAGTC